TGGGTAAACCTTTCAATGATGTGGTAAAAATGGGGGAGATGGTAGAAGAGGGAATCAAGTCAGGCAAAATCATGAGTTATTCGGCGTTGAAAGATACTACAGAAGACATTCAGGACATCTCAGTAAGTTTGGGTGGAAGAAAGAGAAATAGAAAAGATGATCCGGTGGGCATTCCTGCTCAACGTTTTCAGCCTCGATATAGAGCCCATAGATATCCCTGAGCACCAGATAATCCTCCCCAACGCTACTTCTCTCCACAAAACCCCCAAAGTCGTACATCACTTTCCCAGTACCCTATCCACAATGCACCACCATATGCTCCACATCCACGAGGCCCACGATGGCCCGCACCACTTCCACAAATGTCTTATCCGCCCCCTCCAGCATATCAACCACCTGCCCGCAAAAGGTTCCAACCGAGGCCAGAGTACAAAATGAAAAGACAGCATCAAAAAAAGTATTTCACTCCTATTGGAGAATCATATGCCAGTCTGTTCCAGGGGCTGAGGCAATTGGACATGTTGAAGCCGATTCAGATAAAAATGCCAAACCCTTTTCCAAAGAAGTTTGATTTTTCTCAAAGGTGCGCATATTGCTCTGATGCCCCGGGTCACAGCACAGAAAAATGTTGGCATCTGAAAAAAGCAATTCAGAAGCTTATTGATGCAGGCGACATTGTCGTGCAAAATCCAGATGCAGTAGACGCTAGCCAAAGTCCATCGCCTGTTCATTATGAGACGCATATGGTGGGTATGATTTGTTTTGAAAAAGAATATGAGAATTCTTCCGAGATCCTCGGAGGTCCACATGTTGCAAAGCTTTCAGCTAGCAGAGGTTGATTTTAAGAACGAGCCGGCAAAAGGGACCCAAACGCAATTTGCTAAAGTCAATGTGACGAAGACTTGTGAAGGTCCTAGTAATGTTGATGCGGAACTCAGTGGCTAAAATGTCGTGCTTGAGTTCAAGTGCATCTCAAGTTACAAGATAAAGTCAAGAAAGTTTTCTCAGGATTGACGGAGGATATCCATTGTGAAGAAGAAATCACCCAACGAGAATTCTATACTTGACAAGGCACTAAAACATATCAGTGATATCAATGCCGAAGCTGTAAAAGAAATGTTGTGTGTGTTCTTCGTTTTTTCATTTCAAGTTGCATGTGTTGTACTCGGCACTCTTAGAGATTGGGAGGCCCTTCTTCTGCTATCTAAACACTTTATCCTTTGTTACCCCTTTTGAGCCTTGTTTGTTTCCTTTCATACCCCTCTTTTGGAATCAGTAGCAAAGTTCAAAAAACACAGATACAGAAGATAAATAAAGAAGAAAAAAGAGGAAAAAGAGAAGAGGAAAAGAGAAAAGAAATTGAAAAAAAAGAGTAAGTAAAGCAAAAGAAAGAAAAGAAAAGAGAAGAAAAGAAAAAAAAAAAGAGGAAAGAAGAAAAGAAAAAAGAGAAAAGTACAGAGAAAAAAAAACCAAGCAATTCCTATGTCATGAACTACATTCGACCTGATTCCTTGTAAGGATACATAGGCGGCCTCACGGTTCTGTCCCATCAAAATAAAAATTCAAAAGTCCCAAGCAAAGAAACTGGGGCAGAAAGTTGCAGTTTTGCAAAAGTTCTGATTCCAAAAGTTGTAATTCTAAACCCATTCAAGTTGTTTTGAGCCTTTATGATATCCTTTCTTTCTAACCCTGTCCAAAATCCACATTACAGTCCAACAAAAAAGACCTCCCGGATAATCTTTGAGAGTACTGAGTTTAGACATGCCAAGGGTATATGATGTATTTTACCCTGGTTAATGCCTTGTCATCTGTAGAAGCAGAAGAAATAAGAAGAAAAGAACAAAATGAGAAAGTCTTATTGGTGAAAACCTGCACAGGCACCATAAGGAGATGGTGAGTTGAGAGAAAGAACAAAATGAGAGAGGCTTGATGGTGAAAACCCTTCGGGCACTACAAGTCGAATAAGGATCGCAAATCAGAGTGGATAATCGGAGCGTTGAAGCCCAGTTTCACGATTTAGGGATATAACAAGAGTTGAACATCAGACTTGCTTGACAGATTAGGCCACAGGTGCATGTCATGATCATTAGAGTTGGTATCCACATCTGATAAGTTTCTACTTTGTAGTTTTCTTGTTAGGAATCATCTCTTTCCATTTTCCTTTTACTCTGTTCCTTTTGTCTTGTTTACTTCCTCTTCCTAAGTCTGTTTGGTCAGAACAAGTGAGAAAATGACTTCAAAATTTGCCACCAGCTTTCCAATTGCACAAAACGGGATCTGGCTAGCACATCGAAGTGACATAAGTCGAAAAAGAACAGCGTGCGCACTGAGTTGGTAACAATCAACTTGCTTTGGGATTCATGTGAAATACAAAGGTATGGTATATGTCAATTCATGAACAATGCAACAATTAGAGGTTGTTGGGTTTGAACGGATTAAAGGTATTTACTGTGATAAGGTTGACAGAGAAAGTGGTTAACAAGCAAGTTCTTCCAAGTGAAAATCAAAGTTATCATGGCAAGTGAAGGAGCAATAGACTTCAAGGCCAAGGCCAGTAGCATACATCAGGAAAGAACAACAAACGCACTGAGTGGGTGGCAATTGATGTGCTTTGGGATTCACGTGAAACACAAAGGTTCGGTATATGTCAATTCATGAGCACAGTGCAACAGATAGAGGGCTTGGGTTGGAACGAATCAGAGGTATTTTCTGTGATCAGGGTGACAGAGAAAGTGGTCAGTCAATAAACAAGCAAGGTCTTTCAATGTTGAAATCGAAGTTATCATGGGAAGTGAATGAGCAATCGCCCTCAAAGTCAAGGCCGCAAACCAGCCACCATGTTTAAACTCACAAGTTTTCTCTGATTGAAACAGGGGCAGAAAATTTCGTTTGTTTCAGAGAAACCCTCCGTAACGAAAGCAAGTGCCGGACAGGCTCGGCAGAAGTGCCAGTACCCCCTGGATAATAGGATTTAGTAAGTTTTGAGACCCTCGCAAATGACAAGGTCTGACGAGAGGTCTACTTTTGGGAAGTATAATTTGGCATTTAAGCTTTTCATTTTTGAGATGAGGCTTGGTTTGAAATTTTCAGGATAAAGGAATTTAGTTTAGAATTAGTTCTGATAACAAGAACCGGTTAACACTCACAGATGTTCCCAATGTCAAACTGGGGCAGAAAAATTTCTTTTGTTTTGTTTGTTTTGTTGAAATCAGGCACCCACCTGGAGAACAAAGGGAAAGCAACAATGTTCAAAGGAAGGCAGCAATTAGGAGCCCACCTGGAGAACAAAGGGAAAACAACAATGTTCAAAGGAAGACAGCAATCAGGAGCCCACCTGGAGAACAAAGGGAAGCATCTCAAGTTTCGAGGAAAAGAAAGACAGCAATCAGTAGCCCACCTGGAGAACAAAGGGAAGCAGTTCAAGTTTCGAGGAAAAGGAAGACAACAATCAGGAGCTCACCTGGAGAACAAAGGGAAACAGTTCAAGTCGCAAGGAAAAGCAGTGCAAGTGTTGGAAATCAGGCGCCCACCTAGAGAACAAAGGGAAAGCAGCAATGTTCAAAGGAAGACGGTTCAAGTTCGGCAATCAGGCACCCACCTGGAGATCAAAGGGAAAACAAGTCAAGTTTCGGAGGAAAGGAAGATAATTCAAATGTTGGTAATCAGGCACCCACCTGGAAAACAAAGGGAAAGCACCTCAGAATACAATTCAAGTCAGCAATAAAGGAATCTCACCTGGAGAGTACAAGTCAACAGAGCAGCAGAAACTGCAAGATCAAGTTTGAATAAGTGTAGATAGGATTTTTGTAATTCATAGATCATAGTTTAGTCTAGCTTCTTTTATTTTGTCTTGGAGTAATAAGGAGTTCAGCAAGTAGTAGTAGCAGCAGCAGCAACAATGAAATCACAGCTTCCTGGTAGTCCCAGCTACCGAAACTTCCCGAACTACACTGACCTGATTCCTTTATAGCCAAGGATATGTAGGCAACCTCGGAAGTAGGGTGCGGTCAAATCTTTCAAAAATGCTTCCCACGGAGTATTCAAACGGGCAAAAATCGCTCGTATCCGCTCACTTTATCTTTGCACGAAAACTCTTCGTGTTTTCGAGCAAAGAGGGGCAGCTGTGAGCACTTGATTTTTGCCCGATATGAATTACTCCTATAAAATTCAAGAAAATAAAATTTTTCCATTATTTGCAATTTTATAGGATTTTATGGAAATTTGTGCTAATTATTTGTATTTTTCTGCGCATGTTTATTTTTGTTAAAAATCATTAAAAAGCCAAAAATACCATGAATTGCATTTCGGTCATTTTTTTTTTACTTTTTTAAAGGTTAATTAGTCAATTATTTGCATTATTAAAATTGAAAATCAAAAATTGGTTTATTTTTGCATTTTTAGTCTTTTAGTATTAAACTAGTAATTTATTCTTTTACTTTAGTAGTAATTAACTTTTGTAAAATATTATAGTAGATAATTAATTTAAATTTACAACTTAGATTAATTTTGGAGATTAATTTAGATTTTATTTAATTAAGAGGAAAAAAAGAACAAAGAAAGGGAATGGTAATTTGGTCTTAAAATGCAATTTGGGCCAAGACCCAAACTCTAAAACCCAATTTACCCGCCCAGTCCGACTAGCCCAATTCCCCAACCCGGTCCAGCCCCTCTATTACACCAAACGACCACGTTTTCCCCCACTTTGATCATCACCGCTGGATCACATTGATCCAACGGACCAGAACTAGACGCCCAATATATATATATATATATATATATATTATATATATATATATATATATATAATATTTGGAACCAGCCCTACCTCCCCCCCCCCCCAATCGACGCCTCATTCATCCCCTCGCTCAGTTCCTAACATATAGAAATGTCGGATTCATTAGAAAATAAGACTAAGTTATTTATGTATATAAGTTAAATCCTTTCTCCCTGCTAATTTACCTACAAGAAGTTTAAAATCCAGTACTCGATGGAGCATGTCACGGTGTAGGTCTGCAAGCAAAAATTATGAGTATGTGTTGAGAGAATACAGAGTCTACTGCTCGATCAGGTTGAAATTTTATCATTAAAAAACCTAACCTTCACAATTTGAATTGCAAGGAAAGCTACCCACACAAACATTAGAAGTCGTAGTTCTTTCCAGTAAACATTGCGAAGCATGGGAACCTATACGATTAATAAAAACAACATGTACTCCATTAATATGCACGTGAAGTTGTTAAAAAGTAGATCGGTTTAGAAATCAACAGATGGAGCATATACTTACAGTGTCATCTACATTAGCTAGTGGGAAGTATCAGATCGGTTTAATGGTAATTTGGTCTTAAAATGCAATTTGGGCCAAGACCCAAACTCTAAAACCCAATTTACCCGCCCAGTCCCACCAGCCCAATTCCCCAAACCGGTCCCAGCCCCCCATTACACCAAACGCCATGTTTTCTCCACTTTGATCATCACCGTTAGATCAAATTGATCCAACGGACCAGAACTGGACGCCCAATAGATATATATATGTCGGAACCAGCCCTACCCCCCCAATCGACCCCCTCATTCATCTCCTCACTCAGTTCCTCTCTATGAACCCTAGACCCACCGCCCTGAAATTCCTAAGCCTCCACCGGCCGGCGGCGTGGCCCAGTCGACCCCAAATCCATACCACACAATCACCACCCACCCTTGATTCCTAATCCACCACCATATCTCCAAAAATCTCCACCAAATCCGGCCAGTTTTGGATCTGAAAAAAAAAATCTTCCAATTCTTCAAGAACGATTGAGCCTGAAACTTGTATTGATTGATTGTTCTCAACGAGAACATGCGATTAATACCAATTTCGGTTCAAATCGAAGAATGTCGGAGGTCTGTTCAAGCCAAACGTTCGTATACTTATTTTAGGTATCTCTGTTCTTCTTCTGCTTTCTTTTCTTCTCTTCCCCGTTCTTTCTATTTTCTGTTTCTTTTTCTCTTTGGCCGGTTAAAAGAATTCGGATAGCAATAATTTGTTGGTAATTCTGGACAATTTTGTCAAGAGGATTAGAATTAATTTTGTCTTTTTTTCTCCTTTGTTTGCCTGTTTGGCTTTATTTTCTAGATTTCGAGTTAGTATTCAAAGATAATCAAGTTGTCTGTTTTTTATGCTATCGATTAGGTTTAAGTTTGTTATGGGTCAGAATTTGAGCTTCAAATGCTCATGTGGTTTGGTTTAAGTTTAGCCTTGGGCTTTTGGGTCATCTCTGATCCGGTTCAAAGAAACCCGGTCATTTTGGTTTTGGGTTAATTTGACCCATGGGTGATTTCCTAAAAGTAAATAACAGTTTTCTAAAGGGTATTTAGGGGAATTGGATAGGGGGAATCTTTCCTAACTGGGATTGGGCAGTTCAACAAATAAGTTTAAAATTCAGGGTTCAAATTGAACAAAACAGGGAAGTGATGGGGGTAATTTGGAATGAATGAAATCTGATTTTGCTGCCCTAAAGCTGTCTATAAAAGGCTCATTTCCTACATTTGTGAGGCAGGGATTAGAGACCTAAAAACTAGAAACGGCTGAACCTTTCTCAACTTTTCCACTCTTTTCTCTTCAAAAAAGTTAAAGGAAAATTCCCTATTCGATTTCTGGTGATTTGGCATGAAGGAAATGATTTAATTTGAAGCTAATATTGATTGTTGCTGCTGATCTATTGCTGTTATTTTCCTCCTAACCTCAAGCTTATTTTCTTTGTTGCTCTTGCTGTAATCAGGTAGCATTTCTGACTAGAGTGATGCAAAATTTTGTGTTCTTCGAATGAAGATTGTTTGAGTTCACCTTTATCCAAATATGTTTACAATTTTCTAGTGGTGTAGATATTCATTTTGTTATAACAATGTAAATAGATTGTTTGTTTGGTATATTCAAATGCTAATAGGTTGGAGTCTTCAGATTCATGCTTGGGTATTTCACAAAGTGTTATAGTGTAGTTTAATTGATGTAGTTATCCATAATCATGTTCTAGACTCTAAAGTTTGGGTTTATGTTTTCTGTCATGAACTCCAGTTGATTGCTAAGCATCAGTATATGGAATAGGGTGTTTGTCTTTGTTCATTTGTTTCAAGCATGGGATGTATGAAGGACTCTTTTCTGTATCCTTGTTGGAACAGGCTGTAGGATGTATTCCATTTTGTTTAAATCGTGTTGGTTTGCTAACATTTTACTGATCCTTTGGTTAATATTTTCCTTTAAATGCTGGCCTCTCGTCCTACACTTTTATCTCCTTAGTTTTGCTAAAAACAGTATTTTGGTCGGAAGTATAATTTCAGTTGAAGCTCTATCCAGTTTTGTCAAGCTGTCGATCTGCATAATGGAAATTCCTTCCTATGTTAAGGTTCGATCTTGGGTCTATTATTAGACCCTTTGGAACACCGGGGGTCATGCATTTTCGGCCTAGCATTGGGTTTGGCCTCGAGCCCATTTCTCGCTGGCCTCCCCTTTCATAGGAAAAGCTCTAAAATAGTATTGGGCCTGCCACCTGCCCAAGGCCTTTTTGTGTGATTAAATAATTTAGCTACAATGTCATCTACTCAATGCTTTGCTTTAAATTGGTAGTTTCAGCTTGGGCTTCAACTAGTTTAAACCCGAGTATCCTTATTTCGTTTTTTAGTTCGTACACGTTTCTTTTAATTGAGGCGCGCCATTTAATTAATTCTCCTATGGCCCTCATAAGACTAGATCGAGAAATCATTGAAGAAAGAGATTTGAGGTGTGCCATAAGCAAATTAAATCATCTATGGCCCTCACAAATATTAATTTAAATATTAAAAATGAACTTCGTAGTTTGCTTAGACGCGTTAGTTATATAATTATCATGACTACTACTAAAATCCGGGGGTACATTTCATGTGACCCGATTCTAATTTCCAACAAGGTTAAATAGAACGTGCCGGACTCACGGGTGCATTTCATGTGGCGTGGCTTGCGATGTGTTTTAAATAACCTTGAAATAATTCCTTAAATCAATAAAAGCGGTTCTTAAAGTTAAAAAGGTACATAGGTTTAAAAAAAATTTAAAATCAGATAATTAGGGCAATAATAATAGTTAAGCGGTCGTGCTAGAACCACGGAACCCGGGAATGCCTAACACCTTCTCCCAAGTTAACAGAATTCCTTACCCGGATTTCTGTGTTCGTGGACTATAAAACATAGTCAATCTTTCTTCGATTCGGGATTTGAACCGATGACTTGGGACATCATAAATTATCCCAAGTGGCGACTCTGATTTTTAAATAAAATAATCCCATTTCGATTGTCACTTAAATTGAAAAAATTCCCTTATACTCCCTTTCGGGGGGAGTAAAAAGGAGGTGTGACAAGGCTAAGGTCACAGTCTTGGAATGACAATCCAAGATAGAGTGGTAAGGTGACAACCAGTCCATCCCCGTATGACATCAGAATCCACCATGTCCAGCAGTAATAAGTCTACTCGGGTCTCAAGACCCCTAATCACAACCACGCAGGAACGATGAACACGATCTACCACAATAGAATCACCCACCGGGGTGGACACATAAACAGGAGCACTCAGAGAATCACTGGGCATGACCAGGTACGACACAAAATAAGATAACACATAAGAGTAGGTAGACCCTGGATCAAATAGCACTGAAGCATCCCTACTACAAACCAGAACCGTACCTGTAATAACTGCATTGGAAGCCTCAGCCTCCGGCCTGGCTGGAAGAGCATAAAATCGGGGCTGGGCCCCACCACCTCTAACCACCTCCCTGTGAGAAAACCATCTCAACCCTCCTGGCCACATTAGCCGCCTCCAGGAAAGAAATCTCACTCCCCGGCTCCTTAGCCATCTGAAGTCGAATAGGCTGGATAAGTCCCTCAATGAACCTCCTCACTCTCTCTCTCTAAGTGGGAAGTATAAGTAGAGCATGACGGGCCAACTCGATAAACCTGGTTTCGTACTGAGTAACGGTCATGAAACCCTGCTGGAGGCGCTCAAACTGTCGCCGATAGATCTCCCTCTGAGTAACGGGAAGAAACTTCTCCAAGAATAGCTGAGTAAACTGCTCCCAAGTCAAAGCTGGTGATCCGGCTGGTCTAGCCAAACAGTAATCTCTCCACCAAGTCTAGGCGGATCCAAATAAGCGAAAAGTAGCAAAATCAACCCCATTGGTCTCTGCTATCCCCATATTCCTGAGAACCTCGTGACAGCTGTCTAGATAATCCTGGGGATCCTCAGAAGATGCACCACTGAAAGTGGCAGTGAAGTGCTTGGTAAACCTATCCAATCTCCAAAAGGCATTGGTAGTCATAGCTGCACTGTCACCGGTCTGGGCTACCACACCCGGCTGAACTGCTCCAACTAGTTGAGCTGCTGGAGTCTGAAACTAGGGAACACCTGCTCCGGAGTGCGAGTAGCAGGAGTCTGGGCCCCTCCTCCATCCTGAGAGACGGCTGGTGCTACAGGAAGTAAGCCTACCTGGGTGACACTCTCCATGAGGCCCACTAGAGGACCAGAGCATCCTGAAGTACTGGGTAGCAATGAACCCCTCTGGGACCTGAGCTGGGCCCACCGGAGCTGTCTGGCCGAAACCTCCTCGTCAAACTCAACTTGAGGCTCCGCCTCTGGTGCTGCTGCTACGGGCTGAGCTTTGCCCCTACCTTGGCCCCTAGCACGGCCTCGGCCTCGCCCTCTACCCCTCGTGGGAGCTGCTAGGGGCTCGGGCCGATGATCAGCGGATGAGGAAGCGCATGTTCTCGGCATCTGCGAAAAAACGAAGTAGAAATTCAATTAGTCATTGAGAAACCAAACCTCACGACAGGAAAGAATAGATGTGAAGTTTTTCCTAACTATGTAGCCTCAGGGGGATAAATACAGACGTCTCCGTACCGATCCCTCAGACTCTACTAAGCTTGTCTGTGAATTGAGAGACCTATGTAACCTAGAGCTTTGATACCAACTTGTCACGACCTGGATTTCCCACCCTCAGGAGTCGTGATGGCGCCTACTAGTGAAAGCTAGGCAAGTCAACCAACTGAATTATTTGACTTGTTTCCATTTTTTAAATTCATTAACAACTTAGAACCAACAATTAGTAAACAACATAATTTAACAAGCGGAAGAATAAATTTCAAGTTTAATAGTACTACTAATACCATCTCATAACCAAAACCACCCAAGATTTGGTGTCACAACTTCACAGACTGTCTAAGAGTACTACAAATAAAGGTCTGAAAGAAATTACAAAATACTGTCTCTGGAACTACATAAGAGAAGCAGGAAAATAGATAGAGAGAGACG